TTTAACAAGCTCCATAAGTTATGAACAGATTATTGAATCAACCTTTTTGTTTAAATTGAATTTTTAATAATTTATTCTTGTCTCTTCTTGCAGTTAAACAATTTGAATAATTATCACGTTTTGGACAATAAAATCATGATTTAATGACGATTAAAGGACAAAGGACAAGGAAAATAAGACTGAGTTAATCCAAAGGAAAAAAGAGTTGACTAAACGTTCATGTTTTATCAGAATAACTGATGTGAAATTATTCATTTTGATGATTATTTTCATTATAGATGAGATGATCTATTGAGAAGCTGAAATTTCCAGATTACAGCTAAATCAATTGGAGTCATTTTTGGCACTCTGATGATCGTTGAGACGTTATTTTTGCTTTCCATAATCCGCCAATTATTGATTAACAATATCAATAATCATATTTAATCCATTGACATTGACATTGGTTGAGTCAATCAAGTCTCGATTATCAATTGAGCTAATTATCAACATTGTCTCATTGATCTTTTAACCTTCCCATGTCACTAGCAGGATCCTCAAAACAGTTTTCTGGTAATCGGTTAGATCCATCATCTGAATAGATCAACAAAGGTACAGTGGCACAATTTGCTGAACACCAATAATTTTTCTTTGATTTCAGGTTAGACTTGTCGGTCCGATTATAATTACCATTATAGAAATAGATTGCGAATATTTGATGAATCTGAATAAATAAAATGGAAAAGGTAATAACATTAGGAAAACAGTAAAACCAGATCAATATTGGTTAAAAATACATAACTATTGAGGCTTGTGACTCGAAAATAAAGCAAATATTCACATAATTAACTTTGAGAGTTGAATTATTGAATAAGTTAAATAAATCAAAAATCTATTGTAAATAAATGACAATCTTTTAAATTATATCAAAGGAAAAAAGCATTTCGTTTCCAAGTCAATCTACAAAACCATTTGTAATATAAAATCAAATTCAAAATATTTGAATAACGGCAATGGTAAACAAAATTAACCCCTGATTAACTGATATCTGCAATCTAATATTATGCTAACGTAATTGATGAAATAACAAGCTAATTAACTAGATTATAGATTCTGGTATTTTGGGTTATTCCTGTTGCCTTTTCCTCAAGTTGCTGGAGTTTGATTTCAAGTGAAAACCCTTTTTTCGTGAGAGATAAATGTTGTTTATTAAAAGCTTAATTTACTCACCTCAGGTCTTTGATAACAGTGGAATAGGAAAATCAATAGATGCTGAATTAGATTACAAAATGAGAATAAATATTGAAAAATGTTTGTCGCCGTATCCTCTAAGGCTAATACACTTAAAAACCAGTTGACAGCAAAAAAGGGCAACAATGATACACCCGATCGAAGTGAAGGTTCAACACGTTCAATTTCAATCTTGTGTGTAATAGGCTTGTAAGCAAAGAAGCGTTTCAATATCAACAACATGGTTACAGTGTTGCTCTGAAATGAACAAGAAAAGTAAATTAGTTGAAAAAGGATAAGAATTTACGACAAAAATTTGGTCAAAACCAACAGAAATGGTTGTTTTCAAGTCAAATAGCAACTTCAGCAACAAATTGAGATAACTTGAAACAATAAAATATGAAAATGTGAATTGAAACTTGGAAGTAATTTACTTGATAATTTGGCAGAATTTCGGTTTGGATGAATTTATTGAGCAAAAAGCACTTCTAGCTCATGATAGGAATTTGCTATACTCAGTGCGAAAACTTGCAAATGAATAGATCAATATTTTGCAAGAGCTGAACGAAGTCGTATGAACAAATTTTCATGACATTAAACAACTTGGTTGATATTAATTTATCAAAATTTGAAGTTGAATAAACATGAATCGTACTTATTACAATAAAAACAACATCCTCGCGCCTTGGTTTTTACTTATTCAGACAAAAATAAATGGGAAAAGGTGACTTCTTAAACAAATATAAGTTGAGTATAAAAGCCACAAACTCGCAAATAATTGTCAGTTGTAAAGTTATTAGTTGAATTTTCAAACTTACGAGGTTTCATTCGGAGTGATTCAATATAAAAATATAAAGGAAGTTAAAATGCAATTGACGAAAATTGTGACTCTAATATTTTTCATTACTCTCATTGTTTTATCTGGCCATCTTTCAGATGCCAAGAAAAAGAAGGGTGGTGGGAAGAAACATGGCCGTAGATAACATAGTGGATGGAGCTGCCGAAGTTGACGTTGGTGCGACTAAAAAGCGTTGATGGCCTCGATGCAGCATAAATGATAACAGTAAACTGAAGTTTATTTCGTTTGGTATCACTAGTTATTGATTTTGTTATGAATGGGGTCTCAACTCAACTTTGCAATGGTTTTCAAAAAATGGATTTGATGTGATTCGAATTATTAAAATAAAAGAATTATAAGAATTGAAAGATCTCGTTAATTCATTGAAATTTTACATTATCATGTTGTTTCAGGATTTTTGTAAAATTTTCATATAAAATTATCAATAGGTGTTCGGATGAAATATCCATAGAAAAATCTTAGATCCATAGACTTATCAAAAACAAATCTTTGACTCTGACTACGTAAAGCGTGTTAAGTATAATTCAAATGCTTATCCTCTGATTCCGTATGAACTATCGCCCATCAAAAGCTCTAGTTAGATTCATCAACTTGCCTAACAATTCAACCTAAAAAGTGTTTATATTTTGTTTTGCCTTTGTAAATCTAATTATTGACAAGTTTAAATTGCTACTTAATCATCTTTAACCTTCTGATTATTTTGCCTTTGCTTCTTTTGATTTGAATAGTGGCCGTACTTTTCCAATGCATTTCCTTCCAAATTAAGAAACTAGAATTTATCAAAAAGATTAACAATTATATTCGATGAAAATACTAAAGAATATATAAATACAGATTTGGATGCTAATGGCTGCAAGATTTTCAGGTTTAGTTGAAAACGAAAGACATTTGATCTTTCCATTAGATACATTAGTTAACCATCACTACTTGTTTACACAATAACATAATTGAGGAAAGTTTGGAAATAAACTAAAACCCGGACCACTGTAAATCAACTAAAAGAAGCAAGTTTTCCTGAAATGGAAAATCACTGACTTAAAAATATTTGTTTAACATGTTTAAGCAACAATATCTATCAAAGTAATCACCACATAGAATGATGTTTAAAAATAGTAATTAGCTATTTCAAGGTATTTCCAAGTCATTTTATTTTATCCAGGAACACCAATAAAACGACATTGATTACAGTTGAGGTACGAAATAACATGACACAAATTGTATCATCACGAAATCTTTCACAGTATGGATAAAAAAAGGTAACCAAACCAGAAATTTGCCAAAACCGTTAAAAATAAAAACCCAAACTGTTGCTAATAGAAACCAAAGCTAATTCAATTGCAACTCGCTAGATGACGTTACCCCACAGAGTTTCTGGAACTGATTTTTCACCAAAAATTGAATTGTTCAACTAAACCAACAGCTTTACTTACCATTATAAGCAATGAAACAGGCACAATGAAGGAAAACATCATTCCACCTTCAATGGACATCCAGCAACTAGGAAAACAATGAATAAAACGAGATGATTAAAGGCATTGAAAGACAACAATAAATCAGTGAAAATTGACTCAAGTGATTGTAAAAGTTGAGACAACAATCAAAAATAAACAAACAAGACAATGTTTACAATTAACCTGACAATGGTTAGTTAATTAGTGAATGGTTAAAGTGAAAAGACAAGATGAAGACATGAGGCTGAAGCTGAAGTAAAATGAGTTAAAAATTTAAAGGTTTCAACCTTTGTGAACATCTTAATGACAACAATGAATGTAATCAATACTGCATTATTTAAAGGCTGTAAACAGTGTACAGTGTCAATAACATAATGATAATGCGAAGGCGAAGAAGAAAAGAAATGAAAAGAAGATAATAAAGCTGATTGGAAAGATCAATTCTGATTCAATGAATATGAATCAATGTGCATTAACCAGTGAATAAAAAAAAATGTTGCCTTTTTTTATTATTATACACAGAAGATGCACTTTTCATCAACATAAGTCTAAGTCTCCTTTGAGGCAAAAATATTGAACCAGAGAAGAGAAAAAAATTGCTCATGAAGATGATGTTGATGATGATGATCGCCAAGAAGAAGAAGAGTAAAATTGTGAACTTCTTTTTTCCCCTGATTATTTGAGCTGAACTGTTGTAGATAAAAACATTAACACACTGAACTATCTCATTCCCTTGACTTCATGCTGAGTTTTGAAAGGTTCAATGAAATATATCCAAAACTGGTTCTCAATGAAGAGACAAGGAAGAGAGAGAGAAACTTTACAATGGAATGAAGATGACAATGATGATCATGATGATGGTGAAGATGGAATTTTGTCAATTGAAAGTTCTTCTTTTCTTTTGGAAAAGTTCAATTGTAAGAATCAGAGTTTTGGCATGAAAAAAAGAAGAGTTTACTTATTATTTTTTATTATTACAAGCAAATCCTTTTCATTGTCATTGCTGTATACATTGGGAAAGTTGATATTTATTACAAAAAAAAGGTTCAATTGAAGAGCAAAGACGCCAGATGAATTCAATTTTTAGGGTCGCTCTTTTTTTCAGTTTCAATCTTTTCTCTGAATCAATTTTCTTCTAAATTTTCTTGCATTCAAATTGGATATTAATATGAAATTATAAAGTTATTTAATCGTTTCAGAGTCTAACCCTTCTCTTGAATGTTTACTGTTGCTGGTTTGCTTTAAATTGTGATTTGACATTTGAAATTTTGGTTGAAGAGAGAAATTTGTTTTCTGGATAAAGATGATTGAAGATGATTGAAGATGAGGAAGGATGAAGGATGATGAAAGATGATGAAAGTTTGTTAAGGAAAAGGAAACTGTGATAATGATAAATAACATTGTCATTTTAGTCGCTGTTCAGGTAAAACCCTGAAGCATTGCAACTCTTTTTACCTTCCATTGGCTTCATTGTCAGAGTCATTATCATCATCATCAATATGATCACCATTTTACCTTATTTACCTTTGTCACATCTTTTCTTGTGTCAAACAATTTCCAATGAACCTTTTTTATTGTTCACTTTAGGCTGAAAAGATGAAATGAAAAAAATCAATCTTTTCCTTCATGAATAACTAAATTGTCTTAATTCATCTTTTAAATGAAACTTGAAGTCGACTCAAATTTAGACTCAAATATTGCATGAATCTGTTTGATTAACTGGTTCGTCTGTTGTCATTGTTCTGGTGAAGGTTAATTTTAAATTTGATTTGTGAAATGAATCAATGAAAAGGCAATTAAAGATGATTATTTTCTCAATCAATCATTGATATGTTGATGGCTGTTGTTGGGCAAGAAGTGGAAGAAAAGATGAAGATGGAAGAGAAAAGGAAAATCAATTTGATCGCAAGAAACTTGCCAGTATTGATAACAAACACAAATGTAACATCCCTTTGGAGCTGTCAATATTCATCAATATCATCATTTTCATCCATTAACTGGACAATGGCTAAGCTACAGTTGGTCTTGATTCATTGGCCAATATTCACAGTTTACAATATTCACATTTTCACCAATTTTACCCTGAAAAGTTATGAAATAACCAAAGAGACGCAAAAAGACCAGCAAGTTGGGCAAACAAATGTGACAGAGAAAAGTTGAAATTGAAAGCTTTTTTTGTTTTGTTGTCATTGATTGAGTGTTGCCAATAAAGAGTCAACTAAAATTGTCAACTGTTCAGTTGATCAACTGACAATTATAATAGGAAAAGGAGGTTTTTGCAGGCAAAAAAAGGTAAGGTTAAGAAGTGAAAAGTGAGACTCGACGAAAAAAAAAGGTAAACTTGATAGACTTGGTAAGCGAGACAAAAATGTTGGCCAAAAAAATGATGAACATGAAGATGAGGAAAGGTTGACTGAAGAAGAAGATGAAAAAATCTAATATCTAATGATGTTGAAGTTGATAAAGTTAATGATGAACGAGTAAAGAGTAGAGTTAATTTTCAAGTTCAATGTAATTGTTGATTGATGTCAATGTGAAGATGGAAAGAAAAGGAAAAAGTTGAAACTTTGAAATGAGTAACTTTACATGATTATGAGCATTTCATTATGAATTTTTTGTTTCATCTTTTTTTGCTTCTTCTTCTTCTCTTCATGACATTATCTTTGCTACATGACATTGTACAAATATTGTGACTCTAATGTAACATATAATGTCTCTGGTGAATTAAAGGTAAACACAAAGATATTAATATAATGATGGAGATGAAGATGAAAGGGAAAAGGAAAGGATGAAAGACAAAAGATGATGATGAATGGAATGGGTAAGAGAAGAGCAAATGTGCAAAGAA